AGAGGGAGGAGGAGAAAGGGGAGGGGGAGGGAGGAAGGTAAGTGGAAGGGTTAGTGGGGGCACACGGGAAGGTAATCAAGAGCCGGGAAACAAGAGGCGAGACTGAACTGAAAGAATGAGGACGGAGGTGATGACGTAACATAGAGGGGAGGAGTCTGGAGTCTTCAGACTTAAGAGGAAAAGCCGAAGACTTGTGACGAAATAAAAGGGCGGACAGAGGCGATGACGTAACAGATGTGAGAGGGAGGGGCCTAGTCACGCCCCCTGAGGAGCGGGAGAAAGGAGGCCCAAGGCGTTCCAGAGGCGCTGGAGTAGCGAGCCTAACTGAGGGTGCGGGAAGTGGGAGGGCTGGAGAAGTTTCCCGAGGGATGGTGGCGAGACACTGCTGTCACGGGACCTTACCCATTTCTTCTTATGTCGTTGTCTCCGCGGGACCGTCATGAAGTCCGCACGCTTCAGCATGTCTCGCACACCTCTCCCTACCAGCGCAGCCATGTCTGCGTGCGCCGCCGGGTAGCTCCGACCGGAACCGCAAAGGGAGACGCGCAGGTTCCGGAGAGTTGGTGCGCCCCACTGCGGACGAAAAGGGGAGAGAGTTAATGGTTCTTTCCTGGGGCTCTGCCCACCGATACGTCACAGATGCAAACCCAGCCCGGCGTAGGGATCTTTTGAAGGTCTGGAAAAGAAGAATTTTTCGCAGAGAGTGGTGGCTCCTTTTGGATGCTTGTACAGACTCTGTAAAGTCCCGTAACCCAGTTGGGGGATCAGGGAGGACTGGTAGCTGACAGTTGAGTACTGAAGGAGTTAGGAAGGCAAAATGGAGTGAGAGGAGCCTTCTAGGCAGAAGTACAGAGAGAGATCCTGAGGTAGAGAAAAACGAGGCTAGACTTCCAGGCAGAGGCGGTTTTATAGTGAAGCTAATTAAGCTTAAGTTTCAGGACCTGTCATTTGCACTGCCCTTTTCAAGGCTCGTACCTAATTTTTGTATTATTTTTCTTAAAGAGGGTCTCCCAAATTTTTAAAGCGTCCACAGAACTTGACTCCACCACAGGAGCCAGTGGAAAGGAGGGTCATGATCAGATAATTGTTTTTAAAAATGAACATCTGATAGCCAGCGATCGGAGTAGGTGGGAGTAGGGCAGGGAGATCAGATGAGAGAAGACCATGGTCTGGATTAGTGTGGTGGCAGTGAAGATGGAGAGAAGAAGATGGATTCCCCTTATAGTTCAGAGAAAGAAGTACAGGACTTGTTGACTGATTGACCCTATCTACACTAGTATATACTACACCACCAGTCAATAGCTGTCCTCTTACTCTGCTTTTATTCTTCTGACTTACTATCACCTGATATGTATTTATTTTCTTATAGTGTGATAAATAATAATTTTCAAAAGGTTAAAAACATAACTTATAAAAATATAAAATGAACACATGTCAAAGATTTTATTCATCATAATAAACTGCTTATCCATTATTATCCTAAATAATGAGGGAACCAGTGAGATGGTAAGACTTGTTCAAATGAGAATTTGAGTTTCAGAGATTTAGATTATCAGCCAAAGGAATGCTGAAATGAATTTGCTAATAGTTGCAAAAACATTAATATCCTATTAAGCAACAAACTATAATGTTGGGGATTATCTTTTACCAGAGAGAATTAAATTCCATCGCTACTGGACAAAAATTCATTTGCATTTCTATGGATAGGAATTATTTGCATTGCTCTCAGACAAGGTTTGCATTGCCATCAGTTTTCTACAAGTTAACCTCTACCCCTATAAAGTTGTAAGATAGCCTACTCAATGTAAAGTCAATCAAAGGTATACCCCAGCACTACAATAAAAGATCACCCAGTAATCCTCTTCTGCCCATTTACAAGTTCTGGACAATTTTTCTGGATTTGTCTCCCCTCACTAGGATGTAATATTTAAAGAGCAAGGATTTTGTTTGATTCATTGTTGAATTATCATCACCTAGAACTGTATATGATACATTGTTGGCTCTCAATAAATATTTATTGAATGAGGGAGTGAAAAATGAGAAAGTAGGGATGTGACTGTAAATTTCTTTGAGAAATCTGTTACAGGGACCTAGCAGTTGTAAGGTGGAGGGAGGTACATGTATAGAGAAAGGGCTTTTTAAAAAAAAAGCTCAGGGTTTCCCTGGTTGGCACAGTGGTTAAGAATCCACCTGCCAATGCAGGGGACAGGGGTTCGAGCCCTGGTCGGGGAAGATCCCACATGCCACGGAGCAACTAAGCCCATGCACCACAACTACTGAAGCCCACACACCACAGCTATTCAATCCACTTGCCTAGAGCCCGTGCTCCGCAACAAGAGAAGCCACCACAATAAGAAGCCTGCGCACCGCAACAAAGAGTAGCCCCTGCTCACCACAACTGAAGCCCGCGCACGGTAACAAAGACCCAACACAGCCAAAAATAAATAAATGAAATAAATCTATAAAAAAATAAAAAATAAAAAGCTCATAGTAATAACCTATATGGGAAAAGAATCTGAAAAAGAATGGTTATATGTATAACTAAATCACTTTGCCGTACACCTGAAACTAACGCAACATTGTAAATCAACTCTAATATAAAATAAAAATTAAATTTAAAAAAAGCCATTTAGCGCTTCCCTGGTGGCACAGCGGTTGAGAGTCCGCCTGCCGATGCAGGGGACACGGGTTCGTGCCCCGGTCCGGGAAGATCCCACATGCCGCGGAGCCATGGCCATTGAGCCTGCGTGTCCGGAGCCTATGCTCCGCAACAGGAGAGGCCACAACAGTGAGAGGCCTGCGTACCGCAAAAAAAAAAAAAAAAAAAAAAAAAAAGAAAAAGACATTTAAATCCAGATAAGGATCCAGTGAAGAAAGATTCAATATACTAGAGAGGAGGTATCCCAGACACACCTGTTTTCAAAGGCTTACACCAAATATGGAGTGTCAGAACCACAGCCACAATCTCCCTGGGAAGGGGCCCTCCCCACTCCAAACCTCAGTTTACCCATCTAGAAATTGGAACAAGGGAGAGAGGGTTGGACTAGATCAGTGATTCTCAAATGTGTTGGTCTTGGGACCTCTTTAAAATCTTAAAAATTATTGAGATGTTTATTTTGTCTATCAATATTTACCAGCTTAGAAATTAAAACAGAAATTTTTAAAAATAATCATTAAAAATAATAATAAGCCCATTACATGCTAACATAAATATCTTTATGAAAAATAATTATATTTTCCTAAAAGAAATTAAGTCAGAAGAGTGGCATTGTTTTACAAATCTCTTGCAAATTAATGTCTGGCTTAATAAAGGTAGATTCTCAGATATTCTTCTTCAATGTGTTGTAATATGTTTGTTCTAGTTGAAGTATATGTAGAAAATCCAGCCTCACACAGACAGGTAGTTAGAAAAGAGAGGGGTATTTTTATAGCCTTTATAGGTAACTGTGAGTATTCTTTGATACTACATCAAAATTTGACAAGTGATAGTTTCCTTCAAGGTTAGTGTCAGTGTAGAATCTGAAACCATATCAAAGAACTTTTCATAGTCTGTTACATTAAGATCTGTTGGTCTATCAAGCATAATTTTGTCAGATCTTACAGTGGTTATTTGGAAATTGTTGGTTCACTGAGTTATGCAGATCTTCCTTTTTTTTTTTTTTCTGGCTGCGTTGGGTCTTCGTTGCTGCATGTGGGCTTTCTCTAGTTGCAGCGAGCAGGGGCTACTCTTTGTTGTGGCTTCTCACTGCGGTGGCTTCTCTTGTTGCAGAGCACCAGCTCTAGGTGAGCCGGTTTCAGTAGTTATGGTGCACAAGCTTTGTTGTTCAGCAGCAAGTGGGATCTTCCCAGACCAGGGATCGAACCCATGTCCCCTGTATTGGCAGGCAGATTCTCAATCACTGCGCCACCGGGGAAGTCCCGGATCTTCCAAATGTTTTCACATGCATTATACAATATATATTTTTTAAAAATCACATTTGTTAATATCACTACTGATCTCATCAGAGAAGTCTTTAAATGTTAGGCAGCTTTTAAACTCACAGTGGCGCATACAAGTTTTTCAAAATCCTAATATTTCATTGAAAACGCAGATTTTCTCTTTGGCAACAAATACTGTCAATTGTTTTCCTCGAAGTGGCAGGCTTAATTTGTTAACTTTTCAGGAAAATGCTAGCATATTAAAATACAATTGATTTTTGTCAACAGATCTTGTATCTTGAAACCTTGTTAAATGCAATTTTGTTTTGGTAACTTTCTTTGAAACCTTTTCAGATTTTCTGTACACAAAGTCGTGTCTTTTATGAGGTCACTTTTACTTCTTTTTTCAAATCTGTATACCTTTTTTTTCCTTTGTCTTACTCCACTGGTTACGACTTACAGTACACTGTTGAACACAAGTAGGAGTAGTAGACAAGACATCTTACCTTGCTTCCATTCTTAGGAGGAACGCATTCAGTATTTCACCATTATACATGATGTTAGCTGTAGTGGTTTCTATTTGTTTGTTTTAATATTTATTTTGCTGTGCCAGGTCATAGCACATGCAGCAGGATGTGCAGGATCCTGCAGGATCTTTTTTTTTTGGCTGCATTGGGTCTTTGTTTCTGCACACAGGCTTTCTCTAGTTGCGGAGAGCAAGCAGGGGCTACTCTTCGTTGCAGTGTGCAGGCTTCTCATTGCGGTGACTTCTCTTGTTGCGGAGCACAGGCTCTAGACACGCAGGCTTCTGTAGTTGTGGCACTCGAGCTCAGTAGTTGTGGCTCGTGGGCTCTAGAGCACAAGCTCAGTAGTTGTGGCGCACAGGCTTAGTTGCTCCGTGGCATGCGGGATCCTCCAGGACCAGGCCTCAAACCCGTGTCCCCTGCATTGGCAGGCGGATTCTTAACCACTGTGCCACCAGGGAAGTCCCTGTAATACATATTTTCTGTTTAAGATTTTCATCACTGGTTTTCAAAAAGTTGAAAATAAGTGACTTGTTGTGGTTTCCTTTGTGTTTATTCAGGTTGGGGTCTGTTGAGCTTCTGGGAACTGTGGGTTTATAATTTTCATCAAATTTGGAAAATTTTAATCATTACTGCTTCAAATATTTGTTCTCTTTCCTCCACTAACCCCCTCCCTCTCTTTCTCTCTTTCCTGGGCCATTCGATATTGTCCCTCAGCTTACTTTTCCTTTGGTCATTTAGTTTTATTATTATTATTATTATTATTATTATTTATTTATTTTTATTTTTGGCTGCGTTGGGTCTTCGTTGCTGTGTGCAGGCTTTCTCTAGTTGCAGTGAACGGGGGCTACTCTTGGTTGCAGTGCACAGGCTTCTCAATGTGGCGGCTTCTCTTGCTGCGGAGCATGGGCTCTAGGTGCGTGGCCTTCAGTAGTTGTGGCATGTGGGCTCAATAGTTGTGGCTCGAGGGCTCTAGAGTGCAGGCTCAGTAGTTGTGGCACACAGGCTTAATTGCTCCACGACATGTGGGATCTTCCTGGACCAGGGCTGGAACCTGTGTCCCTTGCATTGGCAGGCGGATTCTTAACCACTGCACCACCAGGGAAATCCCTGTTCAT